AAACTTTGAACAATTTAAAGCAAGAAAAACTAGAAAGAAATTTGAGAAACACTTAAAAATGAAATCAAAATTTTTAGCTAAACACACACATAAAGAAGACTAAGATTCCTATAATGTTAAAACTAATTTGTCAAATCTTAATCATGCAACCAAGTATAATGACAATTTCTAGAATCAAACCATATAGGTGCAAATTTTTTTTTCTTTTTTTTAAGCAATAAGGTTTCAACCAAGGTACTTTTTGTAAAAAAAAATTATTATTATTTCTTTGTTCTAACTTGATTCTAGACTGCCAAAAATTGATTAAAGTTGCTAAGAAAATTTTGATCACTTAGTCCCTATGTTTAGGATCCTAAATTAATTTATCATGCATGAATTTAGCTAAGAAATTTTTAATGCAAGTTCAAGTGTTGGAATTCAAGAGATGAAAACTTCAACAAAACATATTAGACATATAACTTAAATAAAAAGCTAGGCACATTTAGAATGACACTAAATTTAGAAGAATATGTAGCTTAATCAAGTGCATGATTTTTTGTTTTGCTAGGCATTTTATCAAGTATCATACATGGCATAAAAAGAAACTTAGTTGAATGTAGTATAGGACCAACCTTACGCCCAAACATGTGAGTGCGCACTGCAAGCTAAATGGCCACAAAAGCCACAAGTTAGACCATAAAATGTAAGCTACACAAGGAATGGAGTCAAAGCAACAACAAAAATACCTTATTAGTAACAACCTAAGCACCGAATACCAAATGATATATAATAAAGTAAGGTACAAAATTTTAAGAAGATAGTTTAAGCAATGAAGTAAGTAAACCCAAGAAAAATTCTCATTGAGCACTAAGATAGTTGTTTATCTAGGTGTGAAAGTGCATTTCCAAGGATTGGAAAAGAAAGAGGAGATGAAAAAAAAGAAGCTAGAAGAGAACAAAATGGACCAACCTCTTGGATACATAAATGATGTAAAGAAATAAAGAAGAAAAGATGAAAAGAAGAGAAATATGGTGGTGGTAGAGTATTATCACACCACTAGGGGATGACCCACCCTAGATAAGTGGTGGTTGTCACCACTTGAATCAAGATTCAAGATAAAACACTCAAAGAGATGAGACACTCTGAGAAACTTCACATACTTGTCATAAATGTTCAACTTATTACATGACAGGAAACCTTTTATTTATAGGCTTTTGGGAAATGGACCTAGATGGAATTAAAAAAAATGAGACATAAACTTAATCAAAATCTAAATTCGTCCTAGCCCACGAAAAATGTCTCTAAGGGTGTGGAGAACATGAAAAAATGTATGTTTCTGTTTAGGTTTTCCCAAGCCTATTAATCTCGTATCCCAAACTTCTTCCTCTCAAGAAAGGAGTGTAGGATATGAAAAAAAGGAGTGTCCTACACCTTTGGACAGCCCATGCAACCATCCTATATGTCTAAGCCTTCTTTTTCACCAAAAAGAGAAGGTGGTCTTCAAAAAAAGAGGTACATAAAGTGGTATACAAAAAAGTGCGAAAATGAGTCTCTAATATTTAAGAAATAAAAATACTAAGAAAATTTAAAGTGGAGGGTGAGGAGGAGGTCTCCCTTCTAGTCATGCTCCTCGTGATCCTCCCAGGGATGACCTCTCCTACATCTAGGGCAAATTCTAACCAGACACCTTCCATTGGATATGAGGGAATTGGTGTTAAGGTAACTTCGGGTGCTGGAAGATGGGATTAAAAAATGGATACCAACTAAAGATGTATAAACCATAGTGGTCTAGAAAGGTTGCCACTAGGACGATTTGATCGAAGGATGTCTACTGCTTCCCCAAAAGTAGCATATACATGGGCTAACAACAATTTAGCCAAACATATGTTTGGTGACCCTCAATGTTATAGGTAGGCTAGATTGAAGTAATGTTGAGAGATTTGGAGTGATTGGGGGTAGAAAACGTGTGTACATAACTAGTACACAAGGAAGACAATGTGTTCTTCATCAGAAACAACAACATTGGGATCGTTGATGACGTGCTATTGTAAGAAGTGGCCAACAAGCTTTCCTATTCTATCGAATTTTAGCTTGAGCTCTTTGTCGGTAGGGAAAACATTTATGTAATATTTTTCTCCAACAGGCTTAAGACCTTATATGGCAGCCACCTCGAGGACAGTCGTGGTAACTGAGCCGTATGGAACATCGACATATCAAAATAATTGATGTTGAATCGAGATTGGTAGAGTAAATCGAAGATGCCGATTTTCTTCCAATGTGCCTTAAACTTCAAGCCATTTAAGGTAGGATGGTTTTTTCTGGGGTGACTCAAAACGATAAACTTTGGATGATTGGTAGAGAAAGTCTATTCTAAACTTCCATTCTTCTTGTTGTAAAATAGATTTTCCTTCTTCAGATGAAGGAAAATCCTCAAGCCCCTTAAAGGCATATGATATGCCTCCTACAAAATAAACAATGAGTACCTAGGTCGAGCATATTTTCTATGATTCCTCTTCTAGGCCAAGAAGTAGGGCAAAGGTCTTGTTGATCTCAACAAACTATGAAGAAATAGGGTTGAGGATAGAAACTTGAGAAGTAACTGAGGAAGAGGCCATAATGCTTTGAAGAAGGGAAGAAAGTTGGTGAGAATAGATAGCTTAACAGCGCATAAAGGGAAGTAAGGATGCTTGAAAATTTAGAAGACTGGGGATTAGGAGGTTTTGAGAACAAATGTGAAGTAATGAAGAAGATGAAACAATTTAACGTTTAAAGATGACAAATTCTTGGGAAACTAAATAGTAAATGGGCTTTTGTAATGGTCCATATCTAGCATGTGATATTTTAACCTAATATTAAAATCATTGACGGTTAAACCGATAACAATAGAAGAGATAACATTTATTACAAGAATTTAACATTTATGAGGGGAATAAGGTGCAATGGTGAAAACATGGGTCGTGTAACTTCTACATTTATTGAAGCAAATTAATAAATTGAAATATTGGAATAAGTTGTATTGTAATTAAAAATAAGAAAAATGTACATTCATCTATATTTATGTTACATTCTCTTAGGGGGCACCTTTATTACTAACAAATTTACAAATATACCAAAAGGAATAAATTGAGAAGTATGTGAAATCTTGATAAAAGAATAACGGTGGAAGAATGAAATAGAAGTTAATAAAGGTTGAATATTGAGACTAAAAGAGTCAGTTAAAAGTAAGAGTATTCTAAGAAAGCAATAAATTGGAATGTATAGATCAAAAGTACAAGTTAAAATTAATGTTGATGGTCAGAAAATGTTGGAAAAATGCATATTAACGAGAGGGAAGATCGAGTTAAACAAATAAGAAGTCAATCGAATATATGAAATGATCGATCAAACATTTAGAATTGAAGAATAAGGAATGTCAAGTTAAGGCTGCGAGATCGAGAGAAGCAAGACATCAAAAAGAAGTTATGCAATCGAGAGATATGCGAGAGAGGTTAAGGTCCCATTATATGACATGTACGCTTATAGGTATTACGTGACAATAAAATGACTCGGAAAAAAATAGGGTAATAATTATAAAAAAGTAACTGTTTATTTTTATTTCTTGTATTTTATTTTACTTCATCTTATTTTTATTTTAATTTTAAATATTTTAGCGGATATATAAGAAAAATATAAATAAGGTAAAATAAATGTGAAAGAAGTGATTTTCAAATTATACGAAAACTTGCATTCTACAAAACACTACAATAATATAGAACAAACATTTTCAATAAAATTCTTTGTAATTTGAATCATTATCTTTGCTAATTTTATTTACTAATTTCTATTTTATTTTTAATTTTTTACTATAACTTACTTTTCTCCTATATTTACTTTTCAATCATAATACTTTTAGTATTTTTGCAATTTACTTTAAATGTTACATTTATATTAAAAATTCATATCATATATAAAAAACAATTAATTAAAATTCATCTAATTTTAATTATTGAATAATTAGTATTATCTTCTAAAATTGAAAAACATTTATACTTAATAGTCAAAATTAAAATAATACAGGTAATATTTGAATTATTCATTCCAAATTTAAATAAGAAAACTATTAATAGAAATGTAAATCTTTTTTCATTGGAAACATAGCCCAACGTATTAAAAACCTAAATTTGTTATGATTACAAATATTTCTAATCAAATGTCATTTTGAAAAAAAAAATATCATAAACCCTATGAGTCATCCGTCATTAGTCCCAAAGTATCCATCAAAATTGAACAAATAAATTAAAAATATAAAGAAACTTACATAACAATTACAACAAACTCAACGGAGCAAATGCTCGAAACGGCAACACATATACACGTTCACATGCGTGCAACAACAAAATTTGTTACATCCGTGAAATATTATGAATAAAATCTTTTACATCATTTTTTTAATTTATGTCAAGTATAATATGACATTGTCTAATGTAAGGAGTAAAACTAATTTTTTAAAAAATAAAATAAAAATAAATGACATGTTTAACACTTAATTAAATTATGTGAGTGATGACCAACAGAGAATAATGGAATCGGGATAGAGGGATTTCTTTATCATTTCTCAAAAAAAGGTTTGACTTCAATGGTAAGTAAGCATTTCCACCCGCAGTTTAAACTCTAACTGTACCCTGCGCTGTCCGATACACGACTGCCACCAGTCCAACACTTTTTTTTTTTTTTTTTTTTTCGTCTTTTTATCATTCACTCTTCATCTCAACCAATAACCTCTCGCCACAACCCAAAAAGCTGCTTCCCAATTACCACTTTGGCATTCTCCTAGACTCCGCCGGTGACACCTCTACGCCGCTGCGTTCACCGTCGCATCTTTCCCCACTCGCACAATTCCAAATATTCGTTCCCCAAAAATAATCACAACTTTCATCTGCTTTTCCTAATTGATGCCCGTACTTATTCCTTTTCCACCACATTCCTCCTTGGCTTTCCTCGGACCTCGAATCCGATCCGACCTCCGAACCTAGGAAAACCGCATGGGTGCCAGCCGGAGAAAGAGCGAGGAACCGAAGGCCACGATGGATCACGTGTTGTTAGCGTCAGGTGAAAGCGCGCATCAGAGAGAGGCACGGATTCGCACCCTCTTCGGGTTCTTTGACGCGCATGGGCGCGGCTACTTGGACCACGCGCTGATCGAGAGGGGGCTTGCGGCGCTGGGAATGCCCTCGGAGAGCGACTATTCGCAGGACTTGCTAGGCGCGTGGGACGCCGACAAGGACGGGCGAGTGGAGTACGGAGAGTTCAAGATGTACATGGAGAAGAAAGAGGTGGAACTGTATCGGATATTTCAGGCCATCGATGTGGAGCACAGTGGGTGTATTTCGCCCGAGGAGCTCTGGCACGCGCTTGTGAGAGCAGGTGAACACTACCCGCTGAACGCTAAGACTTATTTTTAATTTGTCGTTTTGTGTCAACGACCTACGTTTTGGTTGTTCCGGGAAGAATTCTATATGGTTGGATTGCTTGTTTATTAAGCAGGTTTAGAGAAAAAAAGATATGTAGGAAAAATAAAATCCTAGTTAAAATAAAGTATATATAAGAAAATTCAGATTCTGGAGAAATTAATAAGAATTCTGCAATTTAGCCTAACCTTAAGTTATTTTTAGCTGATTTCATTTTTCTAAACATGGCCTAAAGTAGCATTGACTTGGTTACTAAGCTCTGAAGTCAAAATTTATGAGTGTGCTCTCGAATGACGATGACAAGGATTGAAAAAAATAAGTGTTTGTTTTCAATGCGCTTTTTATCAATGATGAGAGTGTATAGTATATTTGGATTACTTTCATTGGAACTTACAGGAAGATTATGAATCACTTATCATTATTTGTTTTCAATACGCTTTGCATCAATGATGAGAGTTTATAGTTTATTTTGATTAGTCACATGGTGGAACTTATAGGAAGGTTATGATTTACTCGTTAAATTGACAAATACAGTTTAACCCTTATGTTCCTATCTGTCAGATACTTCACGATATGTATATAAGTAGAACAACTTTCATTTCTGAGCTAGATTTTAGGTTGAGTTATACTCTAAGATAAATTAAGTGATTCTTAATGGCTGTTTTTATGACATTGGCTCACCTATTATCAGACTATCAACAAGTGTTCGATATGTCTAATCCTTTATGTGTTCGGAGTGTTAAAAATTCTACACAACTAGTAATATAAACAAAATAGTGTATGCAATAAATGGGATACGGAACCTGGAACCACCACATATCCATCATCCCCAGACAATTTTTATGTAACGTGTAGCCCAGTTTTATAATTTATATAAGAAAGATTTATATAACCAATGTTTCATGTGGAGATCCCCAACCCAACAATGTAATAATTTATCATATAAGTGGGGGAAACCTTCACTATAAACTAGTTTGATGTTATATTGAATATAAAATCAAATTCTAAGACACTTTCCTTTATTGTCTGTTTGCCAAATTGTACAATAGGAACAGTTTTATTTGTGTTCTGATTGCAAATGTCAACCAAGTAGCAGTCTCTAATTTATTTAGTGTATTATTGTCTGTATAGTTAGGTACTTCTTGATCTTGTTGATGTACTTTGGTGTTTATTTCATTCTATAAGCCACACTAGTCTCTCTATTGTAGGGATTCAGATAGATGATGTGGAACTTGCCCGATTTGTTGAGCGCGTTGACAAGGATCATAATGGGGTTATAACATTTGGAGAATGGAGGGATTTTCTGCTGCTTTACCCTCATGAGGCAACAATTGAGAACATTTATCATTACTTGGAGCGTGTATGCCTAGTTGATATTGGGGAACAAACTGTTATTCCAGCAGGCATTAGCAAGCACATCCATGCAAGTAGCTATCTAATTGCAGGAGGTGTAGCAGGTGCTGCATCACGTACAACAACTGCACCCCTTGATCGTTTGAAGGTTGTGTTGCAAGTGCAAACAACACGAGCTCATATAATGCCTGCAGTAAAATATATATGGAAAGAAGGTGGTTTCTTAGGATTTTTTCGAGGCAATGGCATAAATGTTCTTAAGGTGGCCCCTGAGAGTGCTATTAGATTTTACACCTATGAGATGCTAAAGACCTTCATTGTGAATGCTAAAGGAGAAGGGACAAAGGCCGATGTTGGTACTATGGGACGACTTCTAGCTGGTGGTATGGCTGGTGCTGTAGCTCAAACTGCAATATATCCTCTGGATCTTGTTAAAACACGAATACAAACTCATGCTTGTGAAGGTGGAAAATTTCCCAGTCTTGGAACCCTCTCAAAAGATATATGGGTTAAGGAAGGACCCCGTGCATTATATAAGGGTTTGATTCCTTCTATTCTGGGAATTATCCCATATGCTGGCATAGATCTTGCTGCATATGAATCATTGAAAGACATGTCCAAGAAATATATTCTTCATGATGAAGGTAATGAACTTATTTGTATGTCATGTTCTGTACCAGATGTGCTATAGTTGTGTGTTGAAATTCTAAGGTTTTCTGTAGAAGCTGGTCCTCTTGTACAATTAGGATGTGGGACGGTATCAGGTGCCCTTGGAGCAACCTGTGTTTACCCATTGCAGGTTGTTAGAACAAGGTAAGCTTTGGTTGTGTAATGTCTAAGTTGTAGCTTCACATATAACAAGTTAATTTCATTTCTATAGAAATTAGAATTTTGACATGACTATTGATTTCAGAATGCAAGCTCAACGGGCTTATATGGGGATGGCAGATGTATTCAAGAGAACTTTTAAACATGAAGGGTTAAGGGGATTCTACAAAGGCTTATTTCCTAACCTGCTCAAAGTTGTTCCATCTGCTAGTATCACTTATTTGGTGTATGAGAATATGAAAAAAGGCTTGGATTTGGAGTGAGGAACTTTGGTGCTTCATTTGATAATTACTCTAATTGACTTGGCTGACCGTTGGCAACTACTGAAGTGGTTCTGCATTGAGATATTAATGACAAGAATAAATTCCCTAATTGATTTTATGACAATTGTTTAAATCATTGTTAAATAACAACTCTTCAAAATTCTCAAAGGACAAAATTGGTTTATCGATGCTTCATGAAACTATTATGTATGAAGCTTCATATCCTTCAGCAGATTTTGTTGTATGCTAGACTGTACACAAAAAACAGTCAGTATCCCATTTTGTAACATGTAATGCCTCAGATTGCTATTCATATTCTAACAATTGGTTCTTCTATTTATTTAACTACCCATTCCTCTTCAAAATGTCAAATTATTTTAACTATATGAATCTATTTAGCATCATTTTGCCACTTTAATTTAGGTAATCGCCATAATGCCATTTTACATTTGCAGAAGACTATCACATAACATTCCATGTTAGGAAAATTATTTATGTCCAAGATCCAATTATTATGTAGATTTTTTTATTTTTTGTTAAAGTAAGTTTTGTATTATCATATTATATTTTGTTTAATATAATAGTTATCATATTATTATATTATATCTTAAAGTCCTTAATCATAAATTAAAATTTGTTACCATATTTATTATGATTATAATTTAAATTTAAATTTTTCTTGATTATAGGATAATTATGAACAAGATTTAATAATTTTCATAAGTTAAAATACATGTGATAATATTAATATCAATATAACTTATTTATTAATTTGTTTTTATATACAGTACTATTAACCGTTAGAAAATATCATTTGAATCATATCGTTTGAATTAATTTGATGATCACATCTAAATAATATATATATATATATATATATATATATATATATATATATATATTATATTTAGATGGGATTATTGAATTGATTTAAATGATATTTTTTAATGGTTAATATTACTATATTTTGTCAATAGAAAACTTTTAAGAAATAAATATTTTCTTTGACTTTTATCATGTTAATTAAGTTATTTGTTATATTTTAATTAGAGACACTTAATTGAATATAGGTTGAATATAATTTAATAATTGTAATAATAATTATTTAAGAAGAAATATGTTTTTCTTAAGTCATTCATTTATGATAACATAATTGTTATACTCTAAAGTTAATTTAGAGTTTACATAATAGAAGAAAATATCATATATTTTTTTCAAATTGATTTTTGAAGGTAAAATATGCATTATTTTATTTTATCTGGAATTAGAGGAGTATTAATAGATGCTACCTTGATTAATACAATAATTTGATTAATATATTATTGATTTGTATTGAATCTATAATGTTACACATAAATACATAAATGAGTGTTCTAATATTTGTTAAAGAAACTAATTATAATATTTAATTATTAAATTAGACAATTTAATATGATCAAATAATAATTAATTTTATGTGGAATATTATAATATTGTTGGGTAGTACTATAAATAAAGTAATATTCAAAATATTTGGATGTTTTAAGTGATAGAAAATATTTATTAAGATTTGATTGAAATCATTTAAAAAGTCTTGATACTCTGGAATGATAACAAAAATTGTTATTGTTTAAAGCGGTTAAAAAGATATACACTAGAATTTTTTATTTATTTTTCGTGTGTTATTAATCTTAGGGTTGCACATTCGATATTAACACATTATGAGTCCTACCTATTTTAAGGATTGTATGTCTTTTTGATGGAGGACCATCTAGGACACACATTGAAACTCTGACCAAGGCTATGGCTAAGAGGATACAAAACGAAGAATTTGTCGGATGACTCTCTTTTACTGGAGCATAACTTATTATGGATCCTCTTTTATCTTATTAGCCTCGGAAAAATATTGTAAAATTTGTATAAGCTTGTATTTCCTTTCTGTAAAAATTTGGGTTTAGTAGACCAATAATTGGCAACCTTAGGCCTCATCTTGGATAAGGCCTTGAGTTAACTCTCGACTACTACTACAAAAAAAAAAAGCTGCACTATTCAAGTCCCACACCAAGCAAACTAAGCATTTTTAGTGTAATTTGTGGCTTTACTTGGGAGAGAAGAGAAGAACTCGACACTTTTGCTCTTTAATAAGTCCCACATTTTTAGCATATAGGGAGAGGAGAAGAGGATCATCTAACATGTATTTTGGCACTTTGAAATTTTAAATGAGATTAGCCTTTGCCTTTTTGTCATCTTGTTCATCATGATCTTAAAATGAGAGTATTTTTTTTCTCCTCATTCTCCTACAAGGATCCTTCCTTAAAGGGAGAGTATCAAGATATTTAAGAGCTTGAATAGTTTTGAATAATTTTTATTGGCTACCCAAGATGGAAGAGAATTTTACTTTAATCAATTTGGTATCAAAAGTTAAGCATGAAGGTCTTCACTAGACAAGTCTTCCATTTCTTTTCCTTATCTATGATTTTCAATCATGTGTTTGCATATTTGAGTCTTAGTTAAGTCATTACCATATTTATATGCTTATATTGTTCTTTAGTTGATTCACTATTTAGTTTTTTCTTGACTCAATTATATATGGATTAGGGTTTCAATAACATGTTGTATGTTCTATTCTAGTTTTAGTAGTTATCTTTTATTATTTATCTGTTAATTTTATAATCTTCCATTTTTGTTTAGCAGTCATGTTTAGTCATTAATTGCTCATAAATTCCTTATAAGTAGTCCCACATTTGTTGATATAAAAACAATGGTCATATGCTTAGCAATATAAAACTAAGTTTTAAGTGAGTTGTGTTTCTTATATTATGTTCTCTTTTTCCTATTAGATCATTAGAAAAATTAAAAAATAATTTCCTGTATTATTTAGTGCAAGCCTTGAGTCTCTCTTATCATTTATTGAAAATTTTGAGTAGAATACAAACATGTTGTACCTAATACTTATTTAGATTGAAATTGAATTCGAATGATCAATTGATTTCGCAAATTGAATTGACAAAAGGCATGGTCTCACAATTCAAAAAAAAAACAAAAGTGGTGCAAGAAAAGTAAAAGGAAGAAGTTGAGACTATAGGAAAGAAAAAAACTTGAAACAACTCTCTTAAATTTTTTCAAAAATAGCAGCAATATACTTTTTTTCTTTTCTCTTAAAGAATCATACACATAGAAGGTTAATTCCTGTGGATACACACTTTTATTAAAAAAGCAGTTTAACTAATTTCAACAATTGAATGTTACCTTTATAATTAAGATTTTCTTGATTTTTGCACTTTTATATCTTGATAAGTCCATAATTTTCCATGAAGAGGGAGAGACTAATCATGACTAGAAAGAAAATCTCCTCCTCACCCTTAACCTTTAATTTACTTATTATTTTTTTTTCTCTTTAATTTCCTAAAGTCTTTTTTAAATCTTATTTTTGTAAGATTCCTAAAGGAAACCTCACTTTTGAAATTCACCACTTTTTTAAAGGAAAGGAGCCTTGGACCCAAGTCTTTGAAGCATGGACAACCCATGAGGGAAGGAAAGGTCAACCATTGACCTTCTAGATGAGAACGACCACAATTTTGGAGGGCAAGGCAAGGGGATAACCCCTTCTAAGTTAAAATTAGAGCAACATATGTTTCTAAATTCCCTAATGAAATTCCCTTTAGGTTTGTCACCCATACCTATGTATAGAAGGCTCACCACCTCTTGTAAATGATTAGAAATTGAATGAAAATTTGAGAGTTACACTCTTGACTATTCTTCTTTTCTTGAGTCTTAACTTGAACCTTGGTTTAAGTGGCGGCAACCACCACTCATCTTGGGTTGGTTCATCCCCCAAGTGACGTGTCACTTCCCCTTGCTCACCCCATTTCTTCTCTTCTCCATGTCATTTTATTTTCTTCTCTTTATTTTACTACATTGGTTTGGGTTCGTCCAATCCTTGCTTTGTTGTTGTTTTTGTATTTTATTCATCTCTTATCCTCTCTTGAATCCTTGAAAGTGCATCTTCACACTTAGATAAGTGATTTTCTTCGTGTCTTGTGGGAATCTTTGTTGGATTTTTTTATCTTAATTGTATCAAACACCTTGACTTAAAAATGACACTCATATCATATCTTGAGTGGTTTTTAAAGGTTTCAAATCTTCCTTGTTTCTTGTGAACTCTTCATTCTTTTCAAGGTAGCATATTAGGTGTTGATAAGAGAATGGTGAAAAGTACTCCTTGAAGACTTGGAAGGCAACAAGAAGAGCTTCAAAAAGGGTTAAACACTAGTGAGGGAGACACATTGAGAGGAATGGACTAAGTGGAACAAACACCAAGCCAAAAAGAAAAGAAAAACAAGCTTGTGATGAAAATTTTGCCACACTGATGGATACATTGTATCAATATTTTTATTAACTCAATTAGTATTTAATTATTATATTTATTTAATTAATTATTAACATAGTTTTTATAGAAAAGGAAATAAACATCTTTGTATCCAAATTATTACCTAATTTGTTCATTTTAACTAATTATTTATTTATTTTTAAAGAATGACAAATTCAAAAAATAAAAAGTTTTATTTTAAAGAATCCGCTCACCATAAAGGTGTTTCGCTTAGCGAACATCAGTTAGAGAACTTATTCAAGATTTCAACAATTCGTTGAGTGGATAAGGATTCACTGAGCAAATGTATTGTCACTCATCAACTAACTTAAGTGTCAGAATCCACTAAGTGAATGAAGATCCATTGAGTGAATCTGTCGTAGAATCTCAATTACACAGAAAAACTATTTTAGTTTTATTGGAATGATGGCCTTTTTGCATATTGAGCATGTTTGTTGTTGTTTAAATGGGCTTTAAAATGTTGAAATTCATAAGTTTAATTTTTTAAATTTCACATCCTAGAACCTATATTTCTCTCAAGTTTTCTCTATTTTGTATGGTTTAACTACCAAATTCAATTCTAGAGGATCTTGTACGAATAATGTCTTAAATTTTATCATTTCAGGATGTTTTGGATCAAATTTATCTCATT